AAGCCTCAGGAGCTTATTAAAATACCCTCAGAGATTCTGACACTGTAGGATAGAGTGTAGCCAAACGCATGATTTGCAGTTTTAAGTTCTCAGATACTTACAATAATACTGCTGCTGTTGTTAGAACTAGGCTTTCAAGTCTACTGACAGCTTCTACTAGCCTGATGACCCAGCTTGGGCTTTGAATTGGGCACTAACAAAACAAAGTAGAGGCAGTAAAGAATTCTCTGATGACGGAAGAGGGTTGCCGCAAGCCCAAGCTCCCAGCGCTGCAAGACTGTGGAGGTACCAGCTGTATCCACTTCCGGGGTCACGGCTATTGGAAGTGCAAGTGCATGGGGTGGGAGGGTTAGGGGATGATAGGAGGAGGTATGTTTGTTATACCAGTGGCACAGGAACCATGTTAGCTTCTCCAGGCCTCTTGGTGGTCTTGTGACACACTAAATCATTTTCATTAAAATTTGTTAGTCAGAACCAAGGGCTTCCCCTGAAATGAAAACTATTAAAATAAGAAAAAGACCTTCTGAGTCCTGGTTCTTAATAAACACAGCACATCATCTTGCTCTCAACACGTATCAATTGTGCTGCTGCTGTCATTTGTTGTTACTATTATTACCTGGACGGTAAACAGACTGTTGCTGAACAATACCCCAAACAAGGTGGAAGTGATACAGAAGACTCAAACCTGGGTCCACTCACCTGACACTCAGAAAGCCAAATCACTAACATCTAGGTGGTAGAGGAAAGTAGGTGGTTTATTGCAAAGCACAGAGGAAGGAGTTGGGCAGCTATGGCTGAATTCCTGAGTTCACCACGCAGTTAGGGGTGAAAGTTCTAGATTAAAATTGGGCTGAGAGGTGAGTGATCCATTAACATCCAAGTTCCCAATTGGACAGCGGTGCTTGTGACATTGCCATGACAGCAGCATGCTTTTTAGGAAACTTAAAATGGTCGGGTGGGGTTTTTCTTCTTAGAAAAAAAAATGCATTTATTTATTTGAAAGGCAGAGTTAGAGAAAGAGGGAAAGAAATCTTTCATCTGTTGATTCATTCTCCAGATGGCCACAACAGCCTGAGACAGGCCAGGCAAAAGCCAGGTGCCAGGAGCCAGGTGCCAGGAGCTAGGAGCTTCTTCCAGGTCTCCCAATAAGTGCAGGGGCTCAAGGACTTGAGCCATCCTCAGTTATTTCAGCACATTAGCAGAGAGCTGGATCAGAAGTAGAGCAGTCAGGAATCGAACCAGTGCCCATGTAGAACGTTGACACTGCGAGCAAAAACTTAATCCATTGTATCAGAATGCCAGCCCCATGGGGTGTTCCATGTAAATAGTAGTTACCTTCCACTCCAGAATTGAAATTTCCCTGCGTGGGCCTGAAATTCCCCTAAACAAATGCCTCCTGACCTCATAGGCCCAGAAGGTTTGATCTGCCTTCTTGAGTTTGGTGATTGCAATCTCCCAAGGCCAGCTGTACCACTCCATCATTTCAATGGATTCCTTTTGGTAAAGGACAGGCGGGGACACCTTGGACTAAAGCAAATAGATGAAAGCCTGTGACCTGCCTACACATTAGAGATTTGGTATCAAGATTTCAATAACAATTCATCTCATATGTTTCTTTATTTGCTCAAGACTCCTCTAATACATAAACACACAACATAGAAAAAAATTTAAGTTTGCAGCTCTCTCTTTACGGACATTTATCATCATCAGCTGTTCCAACTAACTGCATCTTTAGAGGAAAACAGAGAAGCATATGATATTAGAGGCAATGCCATTGATTTAGGACCTGACTTACAGGTCATGAGCATTTCTATGTAGAACAAGAATATATTGGCTATTAGCCAATATTCTAGAAGGAATATCCTAATTGACATTTGGAAGAAAAATACGCAAAATACACAGTTGATCTGCTTGTGCATGTGTCTTAAGAGAGTGTGTCCTAGCCAGTCTGTGGTACATATGGGCAAGCACAGGAACCAGGGCAGGGGGCAGGTCTGATGGGGGTCATTGCAGATGGCTCCAACCAGGCTGCAACTCCCACTGGTTTGCATGAAGGCTGAGTGTGTAGTGGGCAGGATCTGGCTGGGCTACAACACCCATTGGTCCGTGTGGAAGACAGGGCTGGAGGCAGAACTGACCCAGCAATTGCAACCACCAGCATATGCATAGGCTGATTGGGGTAATGGACTATGCACACACAAGAATCAGGTCTGTGATCACCTCAGATGAAATTTCTTTGGGGACCCCCTCAACTGAACTGCTGGATTGGACTCAGAACCCCAACCATGAAGAGAATTGCAGGTTCCATGGTCCGACTGTGGAGTGCAAGTGTCAAAAAGCTGAGCCTCCTCAGTGGCTCAGACAGAGCAGTGGACAGCATACCCAGGTGCACATGGAGGATATGGCAGTGCAATGGAACCTGCAGAGGACACCTGGCACCACAACAGAGGACAGAGGACAGAACAAATCAATCAACTACCCCAGCCTAGTGTTGGCAGTGAAAATCTGAGCAAACAGAGACTCTAAGGTAGACTATGTCATCCAGTGAATTCTGGAAAGGTTTCATCGTGCTTGGAATGGCACGATTGGCAGCCATTCCAAGCACGATTTCAGAATTGCTGAATTATCAAAACCACATGAGCAGTGCCCTCAGAGCATGCCCCACAACAGTGACCCTGGGATGGATGGGAGGCTAGATGTGGCTTCTTCCTTTGTCTCCTCCTTTCCCCCAGATAAAGAAAGGAAAAAAAAGAATGTGGAAACAATGGTCTTACCCACTTTCCTATAACTCTTGACCCTGCGCACCTAAGGATTGTGGTAGGGAGAACTTCAGATTGAAGAGATCAAAGACTGACTTTCTAATCCAGTTCCCCAGTTAATCATCTATGTAACAGAAAAAACACTTCAATTATTTTTACAAAATATGCCCATCTCAAAGAGCAAGAATCTTACCCCCCCCCCCAACCTTCCTTTCAAATTACTTTCAGGATCAAAATACACATACCTCATTTGGGTTATGTATCTGTTAATGAGTACATCCTATCCTATGGTGCCACTTACTGAGAGAGTAGCTGCAACCACAGAAATACCCTACGTCTATTAAGTTGCTTAAGCACACATATTACATTAAATTTTCATTTAAAAAACATACAACTTGTTCTCCGGCTTTATACAAAATGAGGCTTAGAGTGACTAAAGTAGCTTTTCTAAGGTCACACATCAGCAGTGTGTCATCCTGCTCCATATAATGCCTCCTCAAGAAGCAAATCTAAAACTATATGTAGAACAGGGAGTCGTGAGAGAACAAAAGTGAGTTATTATGGATTGAATTGTGTCTCCTCAAAAAAAGATATGTTGAAGTCCTCACTTGAGGAACTTCCAAAATTTGACCTTATTTGCATAGACTTTTGCACATTTAACCAGCTTACGGTGACGTTTCCAAAATGAGACCCATTTGCATATGAGGATGTGTCCTTATAAAAAGGAACAGTTTGGACACAGGTAAAAGGAAGACACACTGGCAAATCTCATGTGACATGGCAGGCAGAGATTGGAGTGAGGCAGCCACAAGACACAGAATGTCAAGAGCTGTAAGCCATCACCAAAAGCCAGGAAGAGGCAAGGAAGAGACCACACTCAGAATCAAAGAGGGAGCTGCCAACACCTTGATTGTAGAATTCTCATCCCACTGCCCAGTACTATACAACAATGATGTTCTGTTTCTTTAAGCCACCACTGTATGGTACTATGTCATAGCAACCCTGGGGAATGAATATAGCAAATTGAGTAGAAAGAACCTATTGGTCTTCCAAGCGCAGATTCCAAAAACAGAAATACAAATCTAAGACTTAGAGAAAGATCAGAACTAGATGAAAATTTGGGAATCGTGAACCTATAAGAGATCATCGTACCCAATGTAACATTAATAAGTCTGAAATAAAAACTGCTCATATAACCATACCAAAGGTACCTTTCACATATTTTGACTAGTAAAGACCAATTGGTTGGCGGCGTGAATAAGCTGTGAATTTCAGGGATTTTTGCATGGGAATCTCGGGAGCCACTGCAAGGAGATGATTTATGAAGGCAGACACCCCACAGCAAGCCCAAGCAGAAGCATGCAGCCATCAACTACAGACAGCTTAGCTCCATTAGTGAGACTGAAAACCTCTTTAATGGTCAATCTGCTGGACTCACAATTTGTTCTACCCTCCTCCTGCAGCCTATCCTTCCCTTTAAAATTTGCTCCTGCTGCTTTTTGGGGGCAGGAGATGGCATATATTTAGACCAGAAAACACTCTGCCCTCAAGATTGCCCACTTCTTGAAATAAAACCCTTTCGCCTGGGCAGTGTTCCTCTCTGGTAAATTGGCAGTCCAGCAGCACACGACAGGAACCTGAATATTTTGCTTGGGAACACTCATTGAATTCAGTAATTAGGAGAATATAACTCATTTAACAGAACAACTTCAGTATGAAGTGGATTAAATTGTAAATGGAAGGTATTTCTCCTATGATTATAATAACTTGAAAATAACAAGTATGGGGCACAGCAATTAAAGCCTCCACCTGCAATGCCAGCATCGCTTGTAAGCACTGCTTTGAGTCCCAGCTGCCTTGCTTCTGACACATCTCCCTGCTGATGTGCCTGAGAAAGCAGCAGAAGGCAAGCCAAGAACTCAGGCCCTGCACCCACCAGGGAGACTTGGATGAAGCTCCTGGCTTCAGCCTGACCCAACCCAGTTTGTTGTAAGCATTTGGGAATGGAACCAGCAGAAGGAAAATCTTTGTAACTCTACCTTTCAAATAAATAACAAAATCTTTTTAAAAAAAAATAGCAAGTATAAACCACCCTTTTATTAAAGGAGAGAATGGACAACTAGGAAGGTATGTGTGGGTTCACTCATATGCTAAAAAAAAAAAAAAAAAAAAAAAACATAGACACTGCCCAGAGCACTCTTTAGAATAAGCCTCAAAAATCCATTTTTTTGTTCTGTCCAGTAGTTTTCTATTAATATGTAACAAATCTCCACAAATCCAGCAGTCTGAACCATGTACCTGTATAATCTCAGGGCACTGTTTATTCAAAGCCTCCGCTCAGAGAATCACAGGCAGGAGTCTGCATTCATGGAGCTTCAGTCTCTTCTGAAATTCCAGGTCCTTTTTCCTGCTCATGGAGGCTGTGAAGCAGGTGCACAACTTTTCAATGATGTACCTCCTTGGGGAGTGAACCAGCAGATGGAAGACACGTGTCTTTCTGAAGAAAATGAAAATATTTTTAAGTTGTAAAAATGATCTGAAAAGATACATTACTAGAAATATATATTTGCCAAATAAGCCAATGAAAACACACTCACCATTATATGACATCATAGAATCCCAGAGTAAAACAAGAATAAGATGCTGTTACACACCTATTGAAGAAGTCAAATCCCAATATTGATACCACCACACGCTGATGAGGATGGAGAACGACCCTCTCATTGCTGGTGAGAATGCCTCATCAGAAACAGTTAGGCAGTTTCTTACAAAATTAAACATATTTGAACGTTATGATCCAAAATACTCCAATTGGTCATACTCCAAAATACTCACATAATTTGAAAAATTATATCCACATAAAAACATGAACATGAATGCTCTTAGAAGTTTCATTTATAATTATCAAAGTTTGGAAGCAACCAAGAGACCCTTCAGCAGGTGACAGAATAAATCATAGAGTATCTGGATGATGCAATATTACTCAGCACTGAACAGAAAAGAGCTGTCAAGCCAGGAAAAGACATGGAAGAACCTTAAATGCACATTCATAATTGAGTGCAGCTAATCTGATGAAAAGGCTACATATTGTTGGAATCCAACTATCAGACATTTTAGAAAGACAAAGCAAGAAAAGGAAAAGACAGATCCATGGATGCCAGAAATTCAAGAGAAGCAGGAAAAAACGAATAGGTAAAGCACAGGAAATCTTTAGGACAGCGAAAGCATTCTGTGTGAAACTATAATGCAGGTTACATGTCACAGATTCTTCAAATCTACAAAAGCATACAACACAGCAAGCGAACCCTAAGGAAAACATGGCCCTTAGTTAGTAACCACCCTTCACAATCAGCTCACTTACTGTGACTAATGTGCCACAGTAACAGCGTGTTTATAGTAAGAGAACTTGTATGTGAGGGAGAGTACATGGAAACTCCATAGTTTCCGTGCAATTCTTCCTTCTTATTTATTTTTAAGTTTTACGGTTATTATTTTCCACAATACAATTTTGTAATCATAAGGATTCCCCCCTTTTCTTCCCCTTGCTCTCTCCTCATTTTCCCCTCCCACCACTTCCCCCATATTATTACAGTAGTAGTCTTTAGTAAGTTACTAATTTAACATTCCAATATTTAGGTGCATCATGGCATTATGTAGGAATAGACAAAGGTGGAACATTTAGTATCATACTGCAGTTAAATACATCATACTCTCAAGATATTTTTACCTACAATTTTTCTGTAAAATTAAAACTGTGCTTAAAAAAGCATAGTCCTACTTATATTATATGTATTTCAATTTTTTTTAAAGTTTAAATTCTGAACAAACAGTTCTTTTCTAATGTTGAAAGTTTCAAACTAAAAGCAGGGTGGAGTTTATCAAACACAAAGTGGAATCTACATGTAATTTTCCAAGATTGTTTTTCACTAAATAGCCCTAAGCTGTTTTCTCAGACTCCAAGTAAATAAACCAAGTTTAGTCTATAGCTTGTGATTCATCCTGGCCTATTTTCTGCAAAATAGAAACATCTTCCCCATCAGTTACTTCGCTGCATTATTTCTTTTCATTCCCCAGAGTCTCCTACATCACATAGTTTAAAGCTCCTTCCTATCTGGTGTGTATCCTGTTATTGTTATTAGTATTATTTTGGCTATTCCCTACCACTTTTCTTCAAAAAAAAAAAAAAAAAACAAAACCAAGACCACGTTGTCTCTCGGCCCTGGGTTTCCTTGCACATCCCTCACACTCACGGATTTATGAGAGAAGTGCATATCTTTTTATCTTCCTTACTATCCTGTCTCCAGAAATTGCTTTTATTCTCTCCTAAAATCTTCTTCTCTTTCAGTATCTCTTTTAAGTATCAGTTCCTTGGCCACGTTCCAGAAATCTGCCTTAGAATAAAATATAACTAAGCAGTAAAAAATAAAAGGAAGGTGAAGTTCAGGAAGATTATATGCTTGCTGCTTTATGATACATATAAACACAGTTCATCAGCAAAGTAAAACCAATTGGACATACCCATAAATAGATACATAAGAGACTCAATGCATAAATTAGCTTCTCACCAAGACATTCTATGATATGCCACCTGCAAACTGGAATACCAGGAAAGTCAATGGTATAATTCAGTTCAATTTCAAAGGATTGGATGTTGGATGGATACCTTAACTGAGAAAAATCCATTCAGCTTTCCTCTATTCTATTTGTGCCTTACATGGATTGGGCCATGCTCACCCATCTTGGTGAGGGAGAATATCTTTTTTCTTTCTTTCTTCAGAGATATTTATTTATTTATTTATTTGAGGGGCAGAGTTACACAGAGAGGGATAGAGATCTCACTCCCCAGTTGACCACATGGCTGGGGCTGGGCAAGGCTGAAGTCGGGCCCTGGAACTCCATCCAGATCTTCCATGCGAGTGTAGGGGCCCAAGTACTTGTGTCATCTTCCACTGCTTTCCCGTGCTATTTAGAAGGGAGCTGAATCATAAATGCTGCATCCAGGACTCAAATCAGCACTCGTTTGGGATGCCGGCATTGTAGGCAGGAGCATAACCACAGAGCCAGCATAACCTGCTAAGCATCTTATTTCTTCAGTCTATTGAAATGCCTGTATATTCTACAAGCAACCCCACAAACACCTTGAAATGTCTTAAAAGCTACTCGGACATCCCTTAGCTCAGCTGAATGACATAAAATTAACCACCACAGACCAACTTTCAAGCTCATATTACATTGTGCCTTCTGCATCTCAATCCACTGGACAATGTCATTGTCTTAACCGAAATGAACAAATACAAAACCATTTCCCCAAGGTTAGGCAGAGAGGATAAAGACACATCTCAGAAAACAAATAACATTTTTATAGAATCACCACAAGTTTCCAGGAACCAAAACTGGGCCTTCTTGTCTAAAAAACCCTGTATTAAGTAGGAAGATGTTTCAATGCACTTATAAAAAAAATACAATTGAAATTAAGCTCACTTTGGTCCAAAAAATTTTGAAACACAAGCACAGCTTTTTCATAACACACATTTTCCAACAATTACTTAGGGACCCTTCATAAGCACTGACTCAGAACCCTAACCATGAAAAGACAGAGGACAGAACAAATCAATCAACTACCCCAGCCAGATGTTGGCCGTGAAAAACTGGGCAAATGGAGACTCTAAGATGGACTATGTCAACCAGTGGATTCTTCAGCGACCTCATCATGCTTGGAATGGCGAGACTGGCAGCAATTCAGAACTGTTGAACTCTCAAAACCATTTGAGCAAGACCCTCGGAGCATGCCCCACATCTAGGACCTGGGATGGGTGGGAGACTGGGTGGGGCTTCTCCCTTTACCTCCCCTTTACCCCAGATACAGGAAAAAATTGTGCAAATAATAGTCTTACCCACTTTTCTGTAGTCCTTGAACCTTTGTGCCCTAATTAACTATGTAAAGATTGTCAAAAATAAAGAAAAAATTTTTTAAAGTAAATATGTTCAATTCTAACTTCCCTGAATATTTTTGTCCTTATTTTTCTGTACTTTTACATGTATTTCCTTACCTCTGGTTTCAACTGGGTCTGGATGCTTTTCTTAATATATATGTGTTCTCCATAAATCAAAGATATTAATTTTTTATCACCAGGTTACAAATATTTTCTCAAGCTACCATTTACTTTTTCATTTAGTTCATAACATTTTGATGTCATAAGTAGGAAAGGAGCCATAATATATTACTTATGTGAGGAGAAGCCTCATATTTCTTGGAAATCTGATTAACTGTGTTAGTCATATTTTCAAGACTCTAATGAAACAACTGAGGCGCCTAATGATAGAAGGATTTACGATTCTGGAAGTTCATAGCTCAAATTCAGAGACAGCCCATTAGCTGCCCTTCGGTTGAGCCTTCTGATTGGCAGAAAACCAAAACAGCACAAAGCATTATATGGTGAAAGGAAAGTGTCTAAGTATCTTTGTAAACTATCAGGATTTTTTTTCCAGATTATTTATTTACATGAAAGGCAGAGTTAGAGATGGGAAGAGATAGAAAAAGAGAGGAGAACTTCCATCTATTGATTTCCTTCCCCAAAAGGCCACAATTGTAAAGCTGGGCCAGTAGGAAGTCAGGAGCTTCTTTCAGGTCTCCCACATGGGTGCAAGCATTCAAGCACTTGGGCAGTTCTCTGCTGCTTTCCCAGGCTCATTGGCAGGAAGTTGGATTTGAAGTGGGGCTGCCAGGACTCAGAACTTGCACCAATACAATTGCCTGCACTGCAGGCAGCAGCTTTATCCACTAAGTCACAGCACTGGCATCAAAGCCACTGGGATTTAACCATGGGGTCACCACCTTAACAATCTAATGTAATCCTTTAGGGCCCAGTGGCATGGCCTAGCGGCTAAAGTCCTCGCCTTGAATGCACCGGGATCCATGTGGGAGACCTAGAAGAAGTTCTTGGCTCCTGGCTCCGGAACAGCATAGCACTGGCCGTTGTGCTCACTTGGGAAGTGAATTGTCAGACAGAATATCTTCCTCTCTGTTTCTCCTCCTCTCTGTATCTCTGACTTAGTAATAAAAATAAAACAATAAAACAATTTAAAAAAACAATCTAATATAACCCTTTAAAAACAAAAAAGGGAGACTTTGCCACAATGACAAGGTGATTTTTATAGTCCCCTCCCCTCCTTTTTTAAAGATTTATTTATTTTTATTGCAAAGTCAGATATACAGAGAGGAGAAGAGACAGAGAGGAAGATTTTCTGTATGATGACCCACTCCCCAAGTGACCACAATGGCGGTGCTGCGCCGATCCAGAGCCAGGAGCCAGGAACTTCCTCCAGGTCTCCCATATAAGTGCAGGGTCCCAAGGCTTTGGACCATCCTGGACTGCTTTCCCAGGCCACAAGCAGGGAGCTGGATGGGAAGTGGAGCTGCAGAGATTTGGAACTGGCGCCCATATGGGATCCTGGCACGTTCAAGGTCAGGACTTTAGGTGCTAGGCCACCACGCCA